TGCAGTCTCCCATCCTGAGCAAGCACAGTGGAGACAGTGGAAAGAAAAACTCCCTTTTAACAGGAAGAAACCTCCAACAGAACCAGGCTCAGGACAAGCAGCCATCTGCTTTGACTGGCTGGTTTGAGAGGACAGGAAGGAGAGACAAACAAACATAGAATGGTAGGTCCAGGTATAGGTCCAGGTGTACCTGAAAGACAACCCCCCCCCCCACACACACACACACACACACACACATGTTAAGGATAGAAAAAATAATTACAAATACAAAACCGGTTAGCCGAAGACCACAAGGAGAGAAACGTGTCAGGAGACAGAGGGAGAAGAGGAAAGTAAAGAATGTAGGACTGAGGGTTGCAACTCTAAATGTGGGGACAATGACAGGTAAAGGTAGAGAGCTGGCTGACATGATGCAGAGAAGGAAGGTAGATGTTTTATGTGTCCAAGAGACCGAGTGGAAGGGCAGCAAGGCTCACAGCATTGGAGCAGGGTTCAAACTGTTTTACCATGGTGTGGATAGAAAGAAAAATGGAGTAGGGGTGGTCCTCAAGGAGGAGTTAGCAAAGAATGTAGTAGAGGTGAAGAGAGTGTCAGATAGACTGATGTGCCTGAAAGTAGAAGTATGCTCCACAGATAGGATGTGATGAGAAAGATACTTTGTACATTTTGGAAAGATCTGGATGAAGTGATGGAGAGTATTCCCAGGGAGGAGAGAGTGGTGATGGGAGCAGACCTGAATGGACATGTTGGTGAAGGAAACAGAGGATGAGGAAGTGATGGGTAGCTTTGGTGTCAAGGAAAGAAACCAGGAAGGACAGATGGTGGTCAATTTTGCCAAGAGAATGGAAATGGCTGTAGTCAACACCTATTTCCAAAAAAGGGAGGAACATAGAGTGACCTATAAAAGTGGAGGAAGGATTACGCAGGTCGACTGCATTCTGTGTAGAAGAGGAAACCTGATGGAGATTGGAGACTGTAAGGTTGTGGAAGGGGAGAGCATGGCCAGACAGCATCAGATGATTGTGTGTAGAATGACTGTTGTTTTGAAGAAGAGAAAAAGAGTAAAACCAGAGAAGAAGATCAAATGGTGGAAGCTGAAGAAGGAAGAATGTTGTGATAAATTCAGAGAGGAGCTGTTAAAGGCTCTGGGTGGTAAGAAAGAGCTTCCAAATGACTGGACTACTACAGTAACAGTAATTAGAGAGGCAGGTAGGAAGATACTTGGTGTGCCATCTGGACAGAGAATGGACGATAAGGAAACCTGATGGTGGAAAAGTGAAGTGCAGAACGCCGTTCAAAGAAAGAGATTAGCCCAGAAGAAATATGACAGTGAGAGGACAGAAGAGAGGAGACAGGAATATAAGAAGATGGGATGTAGAGCAAAGAGGGAAGTAGCTAAGGCAAAGCAGAAGGTGTATGGTGTAGGTGTAGGTGCATGGGAGACTGCACACTAAAGAGGACAAGAAGGACTTGTACCAATTGGCAAGACAGAGGAATCAGGCTGGAAAGGATGTGCAGCAGGTTAGGCTTATTAAAGATAGGAATGGCAATGTTCTAACAAGTGAAGAGAGTGTGACTGGAAGACTGAAGGAGTACTTTGAGGAGCTAATGAATGAAGAGAATGAAAGAGCCAGAACAGTAGATGTCATAGAAACTGTGGACCAGGAAGTAGGAAAGATTAGTGAGGGTGAAGTCCGGAAAGCTCTGAAAAGAACGAAGAAGGGGAAGGCAGTAGGACCTGATGACACCAGTGGAGGTTTGGAAATGTCTTGGAGAGAAGGCAGTGAGGTTTTTGACTCAAATATTCAATGGCATATTTGAGGGAGAGAAAATGCCTGGGGAATGGAGAAGAAGTGTGCTGGTGCCCATTTTTAAGAACAAGGGTGATGTACAGAGTTGTAGCAACTACAGGGGAATTAAGTTGATGAGCCACACGATGAAGATCTGGGAGAGAGTTGTGGAAGCAAGACTTAGACAAGAGGTGACTATCTGTGATCAGCAGTGGTTTCATGCCAAGAAAGAGCACCACAGATGCCATCTTTGCTGTGAGAATGCTGATAGAGAAATACAGAGAGGGTCAGAAAGAACTCCATTGTGTCTTTGTGGATTTAGAAAAAGCATCTGACAGAGTGCCGAGGGAGGAGGTGTGGTATTGCATGAGGAAATCTGGAGTGGCAGAAAAGTATGTTAGACTGGTACAGGACATGTATGAGGACAGCAGGACAGTGGTGAGATGTGCTGTAGGAGTGACAGATAGCTTCAAGGTGGAGGTGGGAGTGCATCAAGGATCAGCTCTGAGCCCCTTCCTGTTTGATCTGGTGATGGATCGTCTAACAGATGAGGTCAGGCAGGAATTCCCATGGACTATGATGTTTGCAGATGACATTGTGATCTGTGGTGAGAATAGGGAACAAGTGGAAGAGAACTTGGAGAGGTGGAGGTATGCACTTGAAAGAAGAGGAATGAAAGTCACCCATAGTAAGACGGAGCCAGCAGATTGATTTGAGTTTTAATATATTAGCAAAACAACTCATAACTAGCTCGGAAAATATAAACTAAAGGTCACCAATCAATTCTAAAACATCTTCCTTTGGATGAACCCTTGGTGCGTGCACCATCATGCAATATTCAACACATCAAGTCTAAATAAATAACTGAGCCTTGAAGGCAGTTCATCATCCTGTTATGATTTCTCCCTCTCTCTCACTTGAGCTGCAGTTATTCTTCCCTGTGCTCTCTTCTTGCCTTTTATTGATCGTTTGTTAATAAAAGCTTGGTTTGGGTCTTCATCTTTAGTAAAAGTAAACACATCTCACCCCAATTTAATTTTTTTTACCTGGACACAGCTGACAACACTAGAAACATTTCCTACTGCGAACAAAACTTTTATCACGGCAAGGATCAGCCCAGTTCAAACAAAATAAATCTGTTCATACATACCACCACAGGAGAACTCCCTGTCAGTGTTGACAAACTCGTGCTGTGCTTCTTCTTCTTCCGTTTCAAAGGTGGCTCGTGCGCGGCTCTTCTTCTTCTTCTGTCTGTAACGTCAGCACTGCAGCACCGGCGTGACCAGCTGCTACAGTAACAGTGGTTGTTGTGTGCAACTGCACCTGCACGCCATAAAACCTTTTTTTTTACTCATTCATAAATCACTCAAATCGGGGACATTTTCGAGGACAACTTTAGCCGGGGACAGGTCGTCCATAACGGGGACTGCCCCCAAAAATCGGGGACGTCTGGTCACCCTACTCCATGTGTTCCTGTGATGGACATGTGACCTGTCCAAAGCCATCTGATTAATCAATCAAAGTCATAAATCTATACATCAAAAGATCAATTCACTTTCCAACTGACTTGCTTTTGAAATTTTTTCAGGGTATTCGGGTTCTGGATCAGTGGATTTCAACATCCATCCATCCATTATCTTTACCCGCTTATTCCATTTTGGGTCACGGGGTCGCTGGTGCCCATGTCCAGCAATCACTGTGCGAGGGGCGGGGTACACCCTGGACGGGTCTCCAGTCCATCACAGGGCCACATAGAGACAAATGAGACAAACAACCATTCACTCTCTCACTCTCACCTAGGGACAATTTAGAGTTACCAATCAGCCTAACATGCATGTTTTTGGTCTGTGGGAGGAAACCGGAGCACCCGGAGAAAACCCACGCATGCACGGAGAGAACATGCAAACTCCACCCAGAAAGGCCCCTGGACCGGGGTTTGAACCAGGAACCTGCTCGCTGAGAGGCAGCAGCTCTACCAGTTGCGCCACCGTGCTGCCTGGATTTCAACACGTTTTGCCAATTTATTTATTTATTTATTTATTGTCCTACATATTTTTTTTGTAAAATTATTTTTAAGAAGACATATTTGTGATTAATGATGTTAATTGAAAAAAGTTTTTAAATATTTTTAACCTCGTAAAACTGAAAAAATGGCTTCACTAACCAGCCCTGATCTGAATTTCTCCACTAATTACATTTTTTTTTTTGTAATCTATTCAGCCTCTCTGTTTCAGCTTATTCTGCTCATTTCTGCTACATTTTTGTTTTATTCAGCTTTTTCTACACATTCCAGCCCTTTTTCTTCTGCTTTCTGTTTTTAATTTTCAGCTTGCAGCAAATGTCAGCTGTTGAAATTCAACTCGCAATAACAGTTTAGTGATCAAATATTTTCAGCAGCTTTCAGACAAAATCATTTATCAATAAGCATTCACACTGCTTTCTCACAGGAAATGTCATTCCTCTAGCTAAATATGTGGCTTCACACAAAATGGGTGATTACATATGCACACATCAATTTGATAGTTTTTAAATAAAATTTTATCCACATAACTTTATTAGTTTGACGTATCTTTTGTAGAAATATTACTGGTAATTGAGTTAAAAATCGCATACATTTTCCGGCTGTAAGGCAACAAACTGGAAAAACAAACAAAAAAATTACAGGGTTGAATATTTTCACTACTATCTTCATTTGGCAAATATCACAGTAGTTGGATGTTTAAGAATGTTAAACTTTGACAATAAAAGTTCTTTGTCACTCAGAGTTTCAGCATGTGTTCATTTTTAACAACGACTGGGATTTTGCCTTAAATAAAGCAGTAAAAGTATATGTACTACATTTCTCACTCCATCCAGGCTTTCTGTCTGAAAGGCAGCAGGAAAGAGTTCGAGCCTACACCGTTTTAATAACTGACATTTTTTTCCAGGCTGTAAAATATTTTTATTGATCTCATATTCTCTGTTTTGACAGACTGTATCCTTGTGAGCAGTTATCATGACAACAGCAGCAATATTTTGCTTATCCACAATGGTCTAAGGTCATTCCAGCTGATTAATGATATGATAATAAGAGATTTGTCAGGTAATCTTATTTACACCTTGGCCAACTTTAAGTAAATTATTCCCTACACGTAGCTCAGTTTAATCTTACCTCAACATACTCTAATAATCATTACATTTATTGTCCCGGCTCTCTTCCTCTCTCCTGACAGCAGCATATAAAAGACGATACTCCGTGCTCCTGTTTGGATCTTTCATCCGGTCCCAAGGTGAGATTAGGGGAACCCACCCTTTTTATTGATTACTTTTAACATAAATTGTGTGAGTAGTAGCATTTTTGTGTCACTTTACTCCAACACTTACTTTTTCTCCTGCAGACAGTCAGTGAAGTTGTGGGAAATAAAACAAACATGGCAAGGTTCTCAGTTTTAGCAGGTATTTTAATATTTCTGCACATCTATCACCAGAGTTGGTTCTGTCTTGTCTTGGTTTTGATTTCTTTCCATTTGTTTCTGAAGGGTTATGTCTGGCATTATTCCACCTGGGTAAGTTGGCATACCTACTGGTCAACCATCATCATGCAGCTGTTTGTGTCCGTGGTGTTACATGAGCAACAAAGTTTTAAATGTTCTGTTGTTCCTACTCAGGCTCAGCCAGCAGAATGGAATGCTACTTCACCAACTGGTCTCAGTACAGGCCAGGCGATGGCAAGTTCCTGCCACAAAATGTTGACCCCTTCCTGTGCACCTCTCTTATCTATGCATTTTCCATCATCAACCACAACAATGAACTGGTTACCTACGAGTGGAATGACGACGTCCTTTACAAGGCTTTCAATGAGCTGAAGAACAAGTGAGTGGGCTGCACCGTCTTCTATCAAACATTTGTGCATTTAGAGCCAAAACTAGTCCAGTCTTTCTAAATGGTTCCAGTAACCCTTTCTAAAGAATGTACTGATGAAATTTGACTTGGTGTTGGTCCGTTCCCAGGAATCCCCATCTGAAGACGCTGCTGGCTGTTGGTGGATGGAACTTTGGCTCAACGCAGTACGTAAAAATTAAAACCACAAGAGCCCATACACGACCTCCTCACTAACTCCGAGTATCTGCTAAAAACCTGAACTTTTAATTATAAGAGGATGTGAGCTAGATTTATTTGATTTTTGTTGGTACTAAGTTTTCAAGCTTACAGACCAAAAGCTCCTTTAGTCTGAAACACAAGGTTTACCTTTTTTGGAACAACACGGCAGTGGGTAGCTACCAGTACCTTTATATGGGTTTGTTAAATTTCCAGTCAAATGCAAAATAAATATCAAACCATGAGTTTTAGGCCTTTACCATGCTTTGCCTCAAAAGTTTCACAGTTAACTGTTTGGCAGATTCTCCATTATGGTGTCCAATGCTGCCAACCGTCAGAAGTTCATTCAGTCTTCCATCAAATTCCTGAGGACTCATGGATTTGATGGACTGGATCTGGACTGGGAGTACCCTGGTTCACGTGGAAGTCCCCCAGAAGACAAGCAAAGGTTCACTTTGCTATGCAGGGTGGGCTGAATGCTTTTTTGCTTAAATTTTTATTTTTATTTCACAACTACCACTTTGTGCACTGATTGAAGTCCTTTTTTTGATTCTGTAGGAACTTGTTCAAGCCTACGCAGCTGAGGCCAAATCCACTGGCAAACCTCAGCTCATGTTGACCGCTGCAGTGGCTGCTGGGAAAGGAACCATTGACGCTGGATACGAGATTGCTGAGATTGCCAAGTGAGTGTCTGTCATGAGTTGGTACTCAGGCAGGAAACCAGGGTTTTCTGGCCAATGCCTCAATGATTCTGTTTTTGTTTTTTTTTTTTCAGGGAACTCGACTTCATTAATGTGATGACCTACGACTTCCATGGCACCTGGGAGCAATTCACAGGCCACAACAGTCCTCTGTTCCGTGGATCCCAAGACTTTGGTGACCTTATCTATTTCAATATTGTAAGTAAACCCATGAATAATTAGAAACATTATTTTCAATGTACTGAATAATGTAACGTTGGCTTCTGTTGGGAGTAAAATGTTACCTCATCAACCACTTGAATTTTTATAGGACTTTGCCATGAATTACTGGAGAGACAATGGCACCCCATCAGAGAAGCTGAGGATGGGATTTCCTGCTTATGGCCGTACCTTCCGTTTGACTTCAACAAATTCAAATGTTGGTGCACCAGCTAATGGTCCCGCATCAGCTGGACCATACACACGTGAAGCTGGGTTCTGGGCCTACTATGAGGTAACATGTATTATTTGCAGAAAATACAGACGAACACTGATTTTTGAAATGGGCCACAAACATGACCATGACTTCTTTGATACAGATCTGCAGCTTCATAAAAGATGCCACCATTCAGTGGATTGATGACCAGAAGGTTCCCTATGCAACCAAAAACAGTGAATGGGTGGGATTCGACAACAAAGACAGTTATGTAACTAAGGTAGGCCAACCTCTGAAATAACTCTTTATTTCACAAACTGTATTGTTTATGTCTGAGGAATGCAACAGATTTTTCCTGAAACAGGTTAACTACCTGCAAGAGCAAAAGTTTGGTGGTGCCTTCGTGTGGGCTCTGGATTTAGATGACTTTGCAGGAAAATTCTGCGGTGAAGGCGCCCACCCTCTGCTGGGTCATCTTAACAAACTTCTCAATATTGGTAAGTCCAAGTATTACTATAGGCAGACTGAAACTGGAGCTAATAAATCTTTACATTATCTTACATTTCTATATTTTTCTCTTATAAAGTTCTATATTATTAAACCAGGCTCCTAATGAAGCTACTGGGGTAACTGTGGCTGAGTGGTTAGAGCAGTCGTCCTCCACTGGGAGAGTTGGAGGTTCGATTCCACCAGAAGTCACATGTTGAAGTGTCCCTGGACACTTTGAGGCTTACTTTTCTACATTTTATATCTGTCTCTCATTAGCGCTATATATATTTTATTTTATTTTATTTATTAATTTTTTTTCTTGTAATTTTCAATTCATATGTTTTTTTTATGACTGTCTACTGTTGTACTAATAAATATCTCCTGCAGGATAAACTATATCTTGGCTGCAAGTATCAAGCTGTGAACTCATTTGTTTTCTGTGACGCTATGGCTCTGCAGAAATTGCACGTTGCCGTCTTGTTTTGTGGTGTTTCTAGTGTAAAATATTCATCCATCCATCCATTTTCTTGCGCTTATCCGAGGTCGGGTTGCGGGGGTAGCAGCTTAAGTAGGGAGGCCCAGACTTCCCTCTCTCCAGCCACTTGGGCCAGCTCCTCCGGGGGAATCCCGAGGTGTTCCCAGGCCAGCTGAGAAACATAGTCCCTCCAGCATGTCCTGGGTCTTCCTCTGGGCCTCCTCCCGGTGGGACGTGTCTGGAACACCTCACCAGGGAGGCGTCCAGAAGGCATCCTAAACAGATGCCCGAGCCACCTCAACTGGCTCCTCTCGACGTGGAGAAGCAGCGGCTCTACTCAGAGTCTCTCCCAGATGATCGAGCTTCTCACCCCATCTCTAAGGGAGAGCCCAGACACCCTGTGGAGAAAACTCTTTTTGGCCGCCTGTATCCGAGATCTCGTTCTTTCGGTCACAACCCAAAGCTCATGACCATAGATGAGGGTAGGAACGTAGATCGACCGGTAAATTGAGAGCTTCGCCTTTTGACTCAACTGTCTCTTCACCACGACAGACTGGTACAGCACCTGCTTCACTGCAGACGCTGCAACTATCCGCATATCGATCTCATGCTCCATTTTTTCTTCATTCGTGAACCAGACCCCAAGATACTTGAACTCCTCCACCTGAGGCAGGATCTCCTCCCCGACCTGGAGGGGGCACGCTACCCTTTTCTGGCTCAAGACCATGGCCTCGGATTTGGAGGATCTGATCCTCATCCCGGCCGCGTCACACTTGGCTGCGAACCGCTCCAGTGGAAGCTGTAGATCATGATCTTATGAAGCCAACAGGACCACATCATCTGCAAAAAAAGCAGAGAAGCGATCCTAAGGCCACCAAAATGGATCCCCTCAACACCTTGGCTGCGCCTAGAAATTCTGTCCATAAAAGTTATGAACAGAATCATGACAAAGGCCAACCTTGATGGAGTCCAACTCTCACTGGGAACAAGCCTGACTTACTGCCAGCAATGCGGACCAAGCTCTGACACCGGTCGTACAGGGACCTAACAGCCCATATCAAAGGGCCTGGTACCCCATACTCCCGGAGTACCCCCCACAGAGCTCCCCACAGGGCTCCCCACAGGGCTCCCCAAGGGACACGGTCGAACGCCTTCTCCAAGTCCACAAAGCACATGTAGACCAGTTAGGAAAACTCCCACGCATCCTCCAGGACCCTGCTGAGGGTGTAGAGCTGGTCCAGTGTTCCACGACCAGGACGAAAACTGCATTGCTCCTCCTGAATCCAAGGTTCGACTATCCGACGGACCCTCCTCTCCAGAACCCCCAAAATAGACCTTACCAGGGAGGCTTAAGAGCGTGATCCCCCTATAGTTGGAACACACTCTATGGTTCCTCTTTTTGAATAGGGAGACCACCACTCCAGTCTGCCAATCCAGGGGAACTGCCCCCGATGTCCACGCAATATTGCAGAGTTCTGTAAGCCAACACAACCCCACAACATCCAGAGCCTTAAGGAACTCCGGGCGAATCTCATCCACCCCTGGGGCCCTGCCACCGAGGAGCTTTTAAACCACCTCGGTGACCTCAGCACCAGAGATTGGAGGGCCCAACCCAAAGTCTCCAGGCTCCTCATTTACCTCCACACACATTCATTCAGCACTCTACTACATCTCAAAGATCATCTGAATCTGTAGAGACCAATCAGAGCTTTAGATCACATTCATTCACCAATGGGACACACATAAAAGACAATGAGGGGTTCAATGTCTTGCCCACAGAAACTTCAGCATGTGACTGCTGATGGAATTGAACCCTCAACTCTCCCACTGGAGAATGACTGCTCTAATTACTCAGTCACAGCTGCCCCAAAATGTAAAAAATCATAAAAACTGCAAATTTCTTGAAAAATAACAAGTGATGTTAAAATACCAGTAGATACATACAAAGTTCTACTTCCTGTGACCTGTGTTACATTTGAGTGATGTTAACACAACAGGACGTGTTGCATGAGTGCTTCAGTGCTCATGCATTTGCTCGATAAACACCAAGATATTCAAAAAGAACAGGTTTTTGGTTGGGGCCACAATGAGGATGGCTTCAGGTAAACTTATCATGAACTCCAGAGTGATGAATGAACGAATGCCGTCAGTAATCGCTGTTTGATTTTATTGTGGTGTTCGCATGACTTTTATTTGAGTAGTGTATTTAATTGTGTAAGAAGCTTTGTTTAGCACATCATGTTCATGACAAATGTCCCCTTGGGGACAATAAAGTATGCATCTATCATCTATCTATCTAAGCAACATATTAATAATTCTCCTTCTCCATTCAGAGCGTCCACCAATGCCCTCAACCACCACCACTAAACCCGGAGCCAGCACCACCTCTCCAACCACCACCACCACCACCACCACACACGCTCCAGGACCCGGATTTTGCAACGGCAAGCCCGATGGCCTTTATGCCAACCCAGACGACAGGAACACTTTCTACATGTGTGCTGGTGGTATCACACATATTCAGTACTGTGGAAATGGATCCATCTTTGATGAAGGCTGTAAGTGCTGTGTTTGGCCCTGATCAGTCTGTGGACAGCATTAGACACTCATGCAAATCTAACTAATTAAAAAGACTGTCAAACTCCTCTTTCATCTGCTTTGTATATGATCAGTTCCCTAAATGAGTCCATTACAGATACAGGCTTTGGTTTTAGAGAAAATTGTGATAAAAAAACAACTAATACTGCAGACTGAAAAAAAACCATTAAACTACTTTGGTGCAAACTATCGAGTTGTCTGTTCATCTTGTTCACTATTTTAAAAAGAATCTATTCTTTTTTCCTTTGTTAAAAATACAAAATAAGTGGAAAAAATAAACTTTTAACATGTCAAACTGCTTGTTTTTAAAGAACAGAAATGCTCTCCGTGTTTGAAATGTGTGTTAGTGATAAATGTATATGTTGGGAACGACTCTCAGCTACTACCACACCAAATTTAGCTCAATATCTGCACAGTTGTATATGATATAGGAAGTTTTGTCTCAGTGCAGGTCAATTAGTTGTGGCAGCCATTTTGAACTGGGATGACACCAAAGGGCAATCACTTGATGTTCATCTAATGATTAGTTTCATTCAAATTAATCCAGTGATTCTTGAGATATTTTGCTAACAGACTAGCAGAGTTGACTGCAGTGGTTAATGACAGAGTTTGTGTTAGTGCTCATGGCATGTGATGTGGAGCTGGTCAGTTCCTGGTCCACCCGGGTGAATGATTCAAGTTCTCACACTGAATCAGGACCCACAAATCCGAGATCTACACCAACCCAGACACTTCATGTCCTCTGACAGACTACAGTTAAAGTCCATGAGTTAGCAAACGCTGACAAAAACTGAATCACCAGATATGCTACAGACTCAGGTGAGTCGTACATAGACATTAACATTTGTTTATGTAAACAACAACTTGTTAACACAAGCTAACGTTTGGTTGACTTATTTCAACCAGACATGTTATGGTTTTGTTTCATCATCTGTGAGGTGTTTTTCTTTCACTGGTGAGTGAAACAGTAAAATGAACATCTCTGAATATTGTCCATCAACATAAATATACACCACACACACACACACGCACGCACGCACGCACGCACGCACGCACGCACACACACACACACACACACACACAGATCTATTGCCTCTCATTCAGAATAGTATTACTTCACACACACATTTATCGCTTCTCTCTGGTCTTGTGAGTGTGTGTGACCGAGTCTGTAGTAGTGTGTGTGAGAGAAAGAGAGAATAGTAGTGTGTGTGAGAGAGAACAGCAGTGTGTGTGAAAGAGAATAATAGTGTGTGTGAGAGAAAGAGAGAATAGTAGTGTATGTGAGAGAGAATAGTAATGTGTGTGAGAGAGAACAGTAGTGTGTGAGAGAAAGAGAAAGAATAGTAGTGTGTGAGAGAGAATAGTAGTGTGTGAGAGAAAGAGAAAGAATAGTAGTGTGTGAGAGAGAATAGTAGTGTGTGTGTGAGAAAGAACAGTAGTGTGTGAGATAAGAATAGTAGTGTGTGAGAGAGAAAGACAGAGAATAGTAGTGTGTGTGAGAGAGAAAGAGAGAGAATAGTAGTGTGTGTGAGAGAGAATAGTAGTGTGTGGGAAAGAGAATAGTAGTATGTGTGAGAGAGAATAGTAGTGTGTGAAAGAGAATAGTAGTGTGTGTGAAAAGAAATAGTAGTGTTTGAGAGAGAATAGTAGTGTGTGTGAGAGAGAATAGTAGTGTGTGTGAGAGAGAATAGTAGTGTGTGAGAAAGAACAGTAGTGTGTGTGAGAGAATAGTAGTGTGTGTGAGAAAGAACATTAGTGTGTGAGAGAGAAAGAGAGAGAATAGTAGTGTGTGTGACAGAAAGAGAGAGAATAGTAGTGTGTGTGAGAGAGAAAAATAGATTAAGTCCTACATGGCACCTCATAGTAGTTTGTTTTTTTGATTTCTCAATTTTGTCTTTTCTTTTTCCGCAGGTATAGAGGCAGACTTCAATTATGTTGATTTGTGTTCTTTCTCTCTCTCTCTCTCCTCTCCTCTACTCCTATCTCCTCCTTTCCCTTTAACCCTTTTCCCATTTTTTCTGCCTTTCTTTTCTCTTTTGTTTTTTGTCCTTGTCTCCATTACATCCGAAACAAACCCAAAGCAAATTCAAATAAAGTTTAATTTTTATGTATGTCAAGTGAAGCATTATGGCCAGCTGTAATGCTGTGCTTGTGAAAGTAAATTGACACTCAGACAACAATTCTGAGTGCCACAATGCCAGACAGGGCACAAAAACAAAATAAAATAACACACACACATTTCTTTATGAAACAGACATGGTGGTGACAACAAAAAAGTGTCTACTTTAGATAAGTTGAAAACCATCTTAGCTCCAGCAAACTGGTTGGTCCACTTAAGATTAAGTTTACTGCTTGGTGGGGAAACAGTTTACTGGAACTCCTCTGACTGATGAAGCCCTCCGGATAGAGGGTGAAACGTCTCTATATGTATATAAAAAAAGTCCAGATGACCCGACTGAGAATTACTGGATAAGTTGAAAATGTTCATTATAATTTGAGGAAACGTCACAGCATTTTGAGTCATATTGTATGCAAATGAGTCAAACATTATAATGCATATTTGAGTTCTGTCGAAGATAAACATCTACCTCATTAAATCAAATAAAAAAAGAGGTGTGCATTTCCTGCTGTTCTCTGGCTTCCCCGCCAGGGGGCAGTATTACTTCTAGGCTCGACCGGAAACAAGTCGAAAAAGAAAGGAAGTTGCTACGTAGATGTGTTGTGGGTTTACTCATTATCAAGCAGCCGGAGATGGACTCGGTTAGAAGTGTTGAGCGGAAATAACAAATTTTTCTATTATATTGTCAGAGACACTTTGGTGGGAGGTAGTTTCATCAGGAACAACCTGCCAGAATGATCTAAGTTTAATGTGTCGGCTATGTGAATTTACAGCTGACAATATAAAAGTGTTATAGAAAAATGTAAACTACTGGAAATGAACTCCTGATTGATGCATAGTCTGGGGTCAGCTGATTCATTGACTGTATTCATTAATTTAAGACACATTTGGTCTTGGCATTGAACCAACCCGTACATATGCTGCTCTTTCCGTTGGATTTGAGTGGACGCGAAGGGCTGATGTAAACTCCACCTGCCCGGCTTCACCGCTTCGTTCTCAGGTTATATAAATGGGGTGGACCCAGATATCTTTGAGCATCAGGAACGACGGAAAAAAGTGCTTGTTTTTTTTTGTAGCACTAAACAAATGTAAAATATTTATTCAGTTTCATTTAAATGTAGTGAATAGCCTTTTATAATATTTGTGTTTTTGCTCATTTCGTTTAGAATGAAGCGGCAGTGATGCGTGTTGTTGCCGTCTGTCATTAGCGTAGCTGAAGCTAACATCGGTGTTCCGCTTCTCTTTCAAACATGTACACTTTGTTGTCTGGGTTGTACAAGTACGTGTTTCAAAAGGACGAGTACTGCGTTTTAATCCTGGGTCTGGATAATGCAGGGAAGACGGTATGTACTACTGAATGTATACAACAAAAGTAAAAACCCTCTACACACAATCACCGGATTGATCTATTAGCAACAAAGTTCATGCTCAATCATCCAGGTGTCAAATCTCAGTCAGGTCATCTGGACTGTTTATTTTTATTTTTTTATAGGTTTTAGGTGGAACTTAATCATGAAGTTTTATGAGACTTTTCCTCAGATGTTTTTCTGTCTAACCTGTATTTTTTATGTTAGCTCTTTCTGGTCCACTTGTCCACAGGTGTTCTGGTCCAGCTGTCCACAGGT